TGGTGGTGGGGTGTGGGGGGGGGGTGAGGTTGGGCTGGGCGCTCTGAAGGGAGCGGGGTGAATCGTTAAAGGGCGCCTCGCGGTGCTCTCCCTCTGTTTTCCAGAGAAATCGTAACTCTGCGGGGCGGTGGCTACAGAAGGATGTCGAGGTTCGACCTGCAAGAGGCCTTACGATTTCGTAGGACAGAAGTGGCAAATTAAACGCAGGAAGATGCTCATCGACCAAAAAGGCCCAAGTTTGGGGTTGGTTTACTTTATAAGCTTTGTCTCCTTTTCCCCATGTAATTAATTTTCTGATACAGAGTGGTAAAAATACCGTGCTTGCTGACATTCCTTGCACCAGAACGTCTAAGGAGGCAGGACCGAAGGCATCAGCAAGAGCTGGGCCGTGGCTCCTGCAGTCGTGCTAGCATGTAGGTCATCCCTGCGGTTTTCAGCTTCAGAGCACAAAAAGCTCCTGGTGCATCTATCGCAGAGGTGTCTTGTTGCCCACGCAGATGTCCCGGGTGCTGTAACTGTTGCCTGATGTAAATGACGAGGTTTTCAAATTTACTGTGCCTATATGTTTAGGAGAATATCACTGTTGGGCAATAGCTTTCCTTAGCCTATTACTTTAGAGATAGGCCAAACACGTAACAGTACCTTCATCCACAAAAAGTTTATCTCCTGAGTTAGTAGTGACTTCATGTGCTGGAAATGTTATCTCCTGTAAACCTACCACTTACAATCTTTCATAATAAACTTAATTGTTTTCCTTCTTGACCTTCCCCGCCTCATTTGGGACAGCATGTTAAATCTCTGTGGTGAGATGCTGGCATCAAAGCAAACCTCCACATTGCTGCCTGCTTCCCATAACCGAGGCTTCTCCTCTGTACCTCCTGATCTTTCCACTCTTTTAGATTCTCTTCTTTGCCTTTGTTGTGGTTTAACCCCAGCAGGTAACTAAGCACCACCCAGCTGCTCACTCACTTCCCCCCCACCCAGTGGGATGGGGGAGAGAATCAGGAAAAAAAAAGGTAAAACTCGTGGGTTGAGATAAGAACAGTTTAATAGAACAGAAAGGAAGAAAATAATAATGATAATAATAACAATAATAAAATGACAATACTAATAAAAGGATTGGAATATACAAAACAAGTAATGCACAATGCAATTGCTCACCACCTGCCGACCGATGCCCAGTTAGTTCCCAAGCAGCGATCACCCCCAGGCCAACTCCCCCCAGTTTGTATACTGGGCATGACATCACATGGTATGGAATCTCCCTTTGGCCAGTTGGGGTCAGCTGCCCTGGCTGTGTCCCCTCCCAACTTCTTGTGCCCCTCCAGCCTTCTTGCTGGCTGGGCAGGAGAAGCTGAAAAATCCTTGACTTTAGTCTAAACACTACTTGGCAACAACAGAAAACGTCAGTGTGTTATCAACATTCTTCTCATACTGAACTCAAGACATAACACTGTACCAGCTACTAGGAAGAAAATTAACTCTATCCCAGCCAAATCCAGGACAGCCTTTCTCCTTGTAGAAGGAAAAACCAAGCAAGTTTTGCAGAGCTTGAGTGCTCTAGTAATGTTACCGCTCTAGAAAGTTTCTAGATAAAACAATTTGAACAATGATATGCATATAGATATGCTTTGCATTTGTACATAGCCACTAGCTGTAACCACATAGCTTTTTTTATTCTGCTGCATAAATAATAAGAAACAATTGTTTCTTCTTACCTGTTTGCTAATAAATCTCCTTTCCCTTTGGGCTAGATAGTATAGCTGTACTATTTGCATTTTTACTCCTGGTAACAGGCATAGTCTTCCTCGTTTTCCCTCCTGCCAGAACAGCTACATAAGCTTCCCACTTAGGCAGCAGTATTTTCCTGTGGAGGCAGTTGAGGTGGCTCTGGCCGCTTGTGTCCAGATATCTTGAACAAAGTCAGAGAGTCCTATTTGCAGTCAAGGGCTTGCAGGGGTAAAGAAACAGCTGGAAATGTGGAGCTGCAAGCATTATACAGCCAACCAGTTTGCAAGAATTGCACTAAATCTTTGTAGCGCCACATTTTAGCAATGGCTAGGTTAGAGTTCAACTGAAACCAAGCATGACTCGGTAAAGGTTTTTTGTAAATAGCTCCTCTTGTTTGCAAGGCAGGTCAGTGCCAGTGAGTCAGAAAGAAACCCCCATGGTATCCAGCCAGCATAGCAATGGGGGAAGGGCAATTAAAAGTGTGAAGGAGACTGAAGGAAATATTTTACTGTATATTTCTGCCTCCAAAGGTCTGGTTCTTTTACTTAGTGGCCTCCACAGCTAATTTGAATGGCCCTCCTGGTTCAAATCTGGAGCTGAATTAGGCCAATAGTCCACAGCTGGGTTTATGGAGTAAAAACGGAAGTGTCTGTAAATCCAAAAATTGTCATGGAAAAGTTCCAAAGTTCAGAAAACCTAAGGATAGAAGAGACAAACAACAAAAAGACTTTGCTTAACAATGAATTTATTTAAAATAGAACTGCTGCTCTCAGCTTTGCCCTGCTGTCCTCTATTCTCTCCTGCCTCAGAGGTCTCAGTTTTTCAGAGTTGAGCTGTTATATACATTTCTAGGGTCTGAAACCTGGGAATGTAAGATAAGCCATATTTTAAAAGCAGTAATCCATGTTAGGCATGTGTCCATGGACTAAGGGAAGCCAGGCAAAATTTTTTTTTCTTTTTTTTTGGTGGTTTCAAAAGCAGAGGTTTAGCTGAGAACCAGTAAACAACCAGTGCTACCAGTGCTACCAGTGCTCATAACAGTATTTACTGCAGTAAGTAAAGAATACTTCATTTACTAAAAGGGTGCCAAGAAGTTCCTGTTGGCAATGAATACAAAACCAGATCTTGAGGGTGTTAGAGAAAGGAACAAAAGAGAAGATTTGACAATAGAAATTCCTTTTCCATGCCAAATATGCTCTATGCTACTTCCGTTTGTTGCCGAAAAACTCGGAATAAAGAACTTATCAACACCAATTTAGTGTAGATAAGCAGACACTTCTTTATTGACGGCCGGGTGCACGGGTGAGTCCTCTCACGAACCACGCACACCTGAACACCAAAATCATACACCTTATATTAAGCTTATTCATACATATTCATTAGATTTCTGAGAAATGTTATGCATATTCATTAGATTTCTGGGAGGTTATTAGCATATGTAAATGTCCTTTACGCAGGCCCAGTGAAGGTCTCTGGTGGTCTTCAGAAGCCCTCTGGTGGTCTTCCATAGTCTTCCTCACTTTGTCCGATAGTTGACCTTTCATGTGATTCTGCGCAGTACGATTTTCGCCATCATGTATTAGATTTACATAAAGTACATTCAATGTTAATTCCTGAATTTAATGTTTCTAGTGATTGGCCCTCAGTCACACCACCTTATCAATATTCTTATACTAAAACAATCATTGGTTAATCTCACTTAACTCTACTGATTGGAATTCTCGTTAATTAGATCAAAGTAAATCTTTACTACAGCTTCCGTGGTTAACTGATTTCAGACAATACTCGAATTCTTATAGTTACACATAATTCTTAAGTTCCTAAGTTCCTATTAATTTGAAATTCTGACATCTGTTATCTAAGTTCTAAATGTTCCTACTAGATGATTTTAACCAATTCCTCCGGCCTTGGTACAGGGCTGTACAGGGGATTTCACAGCAGCTGTTAGTTGTTGGTTAAATGTATAGAATGCAATATATAATTTTGCTAAAATATTTCTTATAGTTCCATATTCCTATTAAAATTAAATATAATTAATTCTAACTAATAACAAATCAGTAACATTTCCCCCCTTTGAAAGTGTTGAAAATTATTTCAATACTTTCACATTATTTACATAACATTTATCCACTACTATTTTAAGAGTTAATATTTGTTTCAGCATATGTTGGTGGTGGACTGTATTCTGGTGGAATAATTGGAACCTCTCTCATGATCATGCGGTTGACTGCAATCCTGTTAGTAAATTGTCTCTTCAGGCAAGCATATAGCAGCATGATCATCAAAAAGACAATTAGTAACAGAAACAGAGTTTTGATTATTGACTGTACCCAAGAGCTCAGATTCCATCTTAATCCGCTAAAAATTTTTCCCAGCCAATCTTCTGACACGTTCAGTTAAAAGCTTAGACTTTAGTCACTTTCAATTTAAATATGGCCTCTTGGTATAAATCACGTGAAGTAAAAATAAAAAACAGGGCAACCTGGAGGCTGGGGAGCCATCTGCTTCCATCCTATTTCAGAATTGCAGTTCTGTGCTGTGAACTCTTCCCATTGTGCTTTTATGCTCAAATGGTATCCAAAGCCTATTTCTCTTGCTCTTTCCCAGGGAAATTCCAGTCCCTCCAATGTTGGAAGGAGAAATCAGGGTAGTAGGATAGGAAATAAAAGTATGTTTAAACATTTATAGTCCTAAGCTCCAAGTTCAATGCCACTACTATATGACGCCGTGCTGTAAGAGCCTGTGGTGTGGAGCGATAAAGGAATTGTTTTGTAGAAATGCATTACCCTTGTTGTTTGGATGTTACTTAAAGCCCCTTCCCTCTCCTCTCTGCTGACAAATGAGATTTTATATACCGGGGGTCAGGAATCCTCCAGTCACATACGCCAAGCCTGTCTGGCTCAGGGCTGTTTTAGAATGGAGGTGAGGACAGAGAGAGGGTGCCTCAAAAAAAAGCCTAATATTACATGTGTGGTAAAAAAGAAAACAGGAAATTTAGTCCTGGAAGGAGACAAGAAGGCAAGTATTCCTGGGCCACCATGGCAGCTTGTCTGGCTGTAGCTCAGAAGGCAGGATGCAAATCACACTGCAAATTTTGGGGTTTGGGGTTTTTTTCTCCCCTTGCTGGCAGAGGCATGGTCAATTGTAAAGTTTTCTCTGAAGAGAAAAAGGGCTAGGTACAAGCTAGGTCTTGCACCACAGTCATGGTATTTCTGCTACCAAATTGTAGGGTTGGGTCTTTGAGTCATGCTGAGCTTGGTCTTTCCCTCTCTCTTAGGAATTTTCTCTTGTGTCACTTTGCAATCGTTGTTCAGAGGGACACAATGTTCAGAGAAAGCGTCTGGCTTTGCTAGGTCATCAGCTTTTGTATGCTGAAATTCTAAATGGTGCTGAATGGTTCTTGCAAGCAAACTATTAACATTTACCTGTTCCTCTTGACTCAGCACAGTGTAGTTCACTGAAAGCTTGTTCCGCTGGAATACTTACTGGTGAAGACATCACTTTCCTTTCATCTGGTAACATCAGTGGAAGTAACAAGTTGCTGTTATTTAAAAGCATGGAAAGATGTGGTGAGTGAAATGCAAATGCTTCAGGCATGGGGAAAAGGCATTCGGGTCAATGGTGTCTGACAACTGTAGTGCTTCTTTGAAAGACAAGTCATTTGAGGCAAATACTAAAAGCTTGGGTGTTTGTGCATGGTTCGAATTTCAGGCTCTGTGTCTTTGAAGAGAAAAGGGTAATTCCAGCCGTCGGGAAACCCCATCCCTGATGGAGGTGCTCTGCCTTCAGTCAAAGTGTTGCTGCTTGGGACTGCTGCTCACAAACCCCCTTATTGTGAAACTTGTTTAGTCAGCCCCTTTCTGCAAGTTTCTCCAGAAAGCAAACTGACAGGGTTAAGAATATTCTTTATCAGAAGTTCCTTGTGTGTATTATGGACATCATGTATCGCTAAGTAGCTGTAACAGAAAATGGGATGGTTTTCCCTGTAAGTGTTCTGCATTGGGGGATAAATGTAGGAGCAGCAGAAAAGCAGCTGCAGATGGTTTGACTACAGAAGCTGGCGTGGTGGCATCCTTTGGCTCTGCAAAGGGTTGTGTGTAATTTGTGGCTGTGTGAAATCACCCGTCTAGCTGCTGTTGACTGAATTATTATGTGGCAATCCAGAAATCTCTAGCTAATGTTTCCTGGGCATGGCTGGTAAGAGATGCTACCTCCCATGCTGCTTTCTGCTCCAGCCTTGTTCCTATGGTCTTTGGACCATGAAGGTGGAGGAGCATTCATCGAGTAGTTCTCTCCTGAAGGGCTGCAGGAGGGAGCTGGAGGTGTTTGTCCCCACTGGAAAAGGCAGTGGGGTCTGTTTCTCTGGCCTGGTGGCATGCCTGGTTGGATCTGGAGGCTGCATTGAAATCACCCCGCAGCCTTGCTCCTTACGTTGGGTGTCATACATGCATAGTGGAGTTTTCCTGAAGAAAACGTAGTGTGTAGCAGGCAAGGCTCTGCCAGCCTCCACTGTGAGGGCAAGACGGGGCAGCCTCTGCGGCACAAGGACGGTGATTTGACCCCACGTGTTCGGATCCCGCAGCCTTGTGTGGCTCTCTTCCAGGTACCTTGTGGTCCAGAGCAGAGCGTGTGTTTTGTACACAGAGATTAAACGTGGCATGTGGTGGGGTGTGTGATGGGAAGAGTATTTTTCTACAAAATTTGGTAAAAGCCTGTGCTGAAGAGGCTGGAAGCTGGGTGAAGGAGGGAATGGTTCATTTGAAGACGCACATTTTGCTTTTCCAGAAGCTGTAAAGAACCATGGCTAAAGTTTCCTGTGAGCAGACTGCAGCTGTGTTCACGCTTCCTTGCAGCTTTGGAGGTAATTTATCCCAGAGAAGACAACTGGAGTGTTTTCCTGATACAGGCAGTTTAAATTCACCTTGAATTACTGGAAAGCACTTACTACGGTTGCAGAAAACATGGGTGGATTTGGGCAAATATGGGGAATAACACTGGGCAATGTCAGCTGTAGGATAAACGCTATGTGCTCTAACAACAAAGTTTGAATCAGTGAGCAAGGAGCGTGATATCAAAACCCAAGGGTGTGGAAATCTGATCCTTTGGCTATTTTTGTCAGGAGAAAAAGCTTGCGCTTCCTTCTCCGAAACAAAGATCCTTTGCAAACATGCTTTTAAGACCGAAACCTTTACTGACGGTGGCCTGGCCTGCTTCGCTCACTTTCTTCTGCGAGATGTTTGCAGCAGAAGGGGGGTGCTGAGGGTAGGACAGGTCTTCTGTGGAGCTGGGCTGCTGGAGGACGCCTTCCCACCCCAAACTCCAGCGAGCGCTTCCCACGGCATTCGGCAGCAGGAGTCTTGTGGGTGCATGTTCCGAGCGTGCCTGGTAAAAGGCGTCTGAAGTGGCAAGGATGTAGAGGGACCGGCCGAGGGTCTCTACCAGCGCGGGCTGCCACCAGTGTCCCCCGGGCTGAGGAGCTCCGGGGACTAGGTCCTCCGGGGGAGGGGGCAGCAGGGGCAGTGGCGTGGCCTCATGGCGCAACGGCAGCGCGTCTGACTCCAGATCAGAAGGTTGTGTGTTCGAATCACACTGGGGTCAGGTCCGGTCACACTGGGGTCAGCCCCCCTCCTCTCAAGGCTGTTCCCGTTTTTGGTGCTGGCCGGAGAGGCTCAGAGGACACGTGAGGACGTTCAGCTTCTCTCTGGGATAAATGCTGTGTTAGTTGAAAAGGACCTATAACTGCAGCTCTTTGGGGTTTCAGAAAAATGAGACCACAACTTTTGTAGCTGTCTCGTCTCAGTTATCAATGGTCTTGGACTCCATTGTTACTCACACAATAAAGTTGCGTTTTGGTTGCCCCCCTGCTCCGCTCCTGGTAAGGGCAGCGTAAATTTGTTTTGTTTTGTCTTTATGTGTAGAAGACATTCTTATGTGTACCACAGATGCTGAGCTTATCTCAACAGAAGCAAAACAGGAGTGTGCTACAGTGTGTAAATGCCACCAGAAGCGCTTTGTTCTTGAAAGAAAAAGAAAAAGTAGTTTGTAATGCTACTGACTCCAGATCATATGGTGGTATTTTGAATCATGCCGAAGCTATAGTGTTTCTCTGTCATTTTTCTTTTCTCTCTGCTTCCAAGCCACTCCACAGCTTCACCAAGAGGGAGAGAAAATGAGTCAGAAGCGGCTAAGGATAGTTCTGGTGAGACTTAAGATGCTGCACTTACACCTTCACTCATTCTTCAGAGATAAAGACAGTTTAAGGATTTCCGCAGTTGCATTTCACTCCCTATGCTGTGTCTGGCTGGGATGGAGCTAACTTTCTCCATAGCAACCTGTATAGTGCTGTGTTTGATTTGTGACCAAAACCGTGCTGATAGCACACCAGTGTTTTCACTATCGCTGAACAGTGCTTACACAGCATCAAGGCTGCCTCTGCTTCTCACTCTGCCCTCTCCCCCCAAAAATAGGCTGGGGGTGGGCAAGAGGGTGAGAGGGGAAACAGCCAGGACAGCTGACCCCCACTGACCAAAGGGACATGTCGGACCGTGTAGCATCACACTCAGCAATAAAAACGCGTTTGGGAGGGGGTAGTTTCTTCCAAAGTAGCTGTTGCTTGGAGACTGGCTGGGCATTGGTCTGCTGGTGGGAGGGGGTGAGTGATTGCCTTCACATCACTTATTTTTATTCTTTTTCTTCACTTATTATGTCAACCCATGAGGTTTTTTTTTTCTTGGTTTCACCCTTCTGATTCTCTCCCTCATCCTGCTGAGGGGGAGCATGAGTGACTGGGTTGGGGCTTTGCTGCTGGCTGGCATCAACCCACCACACTCCCTCTTTCCCATCTCACTCCCCAGTATCAGCAGCTTCTTGGTGAATGCAATGATCCTGTAATTAGTAAGTATTCTGCCCCAGGGAGGGGTGAAGTGTGGGAGAGAGGGAGATGGTGCAGGGCTCTTTCTGCACCTCAGCAAGAAAGGTCCAACAAAAAATGGCTTCATAAAATAGCCATTTTACTAAGACAGAATAAAAAAAGGAATATAGATAGTGAGTAAACCTTATGTCCCTTCTGACGCTAGGCACCATGGTTCAGCACTAGACAGACCCTGTATGGATTCTCCCACGGCACGCTGTGCAGGTCCCATCTGTGGAGATGTTCCTCGTTTCTGGTCCTTCAAGTTATTGCATATTTTCTTACGAGAAAACAACACTACTTCTAAAGGTTGTTGATGTGAGAACTTCTGGCTGCACTGTTAGATGCAGGCAAGGATGTACAGGTAGTGCAGCGGCTGGTGCCGAGCGGGAGCTGCCTGTGGGCTCCCTGAGGTGACCCCGTGGCCAGGGGACATGGGCAACAGCACACGAAGACCGTGTGTGGAAGAAATGGTCGCAGTCAGCTGGACCCCTTTGACAGAAGAATAGGCTGTGGGTTAAGCGGTCCAGGTTCAACTTTGTGCCCATGTGATATGTTGTTGTTTGTTTATTTCTCCCCTCGCCTGAACTTTGCGCTGGAACGGTTTGGAGAAGGGGTCCTGGTTCCCGCTCCCCGGTGCAGAGCATGCCGCTGCTGCCCGGAGGTGGGCTTGTGGGCTGGGCACGTTGGTCAGAGGTCCTCCTTGGAAGTGGCGAGGGAGTTCCTTGGCACACCGGTGGGTGCTCCACCCGTGCTTATACTCACTGCTCTGTTTACAAAGACCAGTGCAGAAGGAGAAAGCAAAAGCGGTGAAGATGTGCAATAGAACAGTATCTCCTGTTAATGCTTGCTTGATTCTGTGCATCAGCGGCAAAACCCAGGGCTCACCAGTGTTTGAAGGGACCAGGAGGTAGCTACTGTGACCAGTTGCAGTGGGGTTGCTTTAGCAAATCAAAAGTGGAGAGGACAGCTGATCTAGTGATAATACATCCGGGCAGGAATGGCCAATTTCAAGGTACTTAAGACCCATTTACTTGCTTTATTAACAGTACAGTGAATATTTCTTTTTAATCTCGCCGTGACTATAGTTGTAGATTGAGATATAATGTGATAATTGAAGGGAATTTGGCTACCATAGGCATTCATGTAATCCTTATGACAACACTTATTGTGCAATGTGTTCAAGGAGTGACCTAGAGCTTATCTGCACTGAGTCTTTAGCCTATGTCTTGCAGGGACTTCCTAGGCTTGCTTCAGTGCAACAGCATTCCTCTAACGTAGAATACAAAATAATTTTAATAGTCATCTTTCAAAATCAATTGACAGAACAACAGACTGGTTTGAAGACTTGCAACAATCTGCTATTTTTGCTACTGCAGTAACTACAAGTGAAGCATCAACAGCCACCTTCCTCCTATAAAAAACTGCAAAGAAGGAGCTAAGGCTTCAGTCTTGAAACTGGTCCGACTTGGGCAGTTGATTCCTGTGTCCTATGGGCCCTAGTGTCCTTCTGCTAGGAATATGGCTACCTGGAGCCAATTCTTGAAATGAGCCTCTGCTTATTCTTCTAATTCGGTGGACCTATTTGCAAAACAAGACCTTATATAATAATTTTTACGACCTCTACCAATGTTAAAATCCCTTTGAAAACATCCCATGTCTGTTCACCACTTTCAGCTTCCTTAAACTGTATCCACAGATACCATAGGAACATTTCTTTACAAGTATAATCTCTATCAGATTTCTTAATCTGGAATAAATCAAAGTTCTCGTTACGGTTGGAGGTTTAGGGACTACGCTGTCACCAACATGTTAACTGCTAGGAGCTAGTTCGTAACTAGTTGGCTAGAGCTGCTCACATACTCAATTTCAATTCTCTTACAGCAGTTGTCATTAAAAGATTAACATTAGTCTTCAAAGACCTGGTGTGAAACATACCGCCTCCTTCTGTTTTCTGAACGGGTAATGCAGTTCTAGCAAATGGAGATTTTTTTTTTTTTTAAATGGGGAATTTTGCCAGTCCATATGGAAAAATAAATGCGCCTCCTCACTCAGAAACAGAGGATTGCTGTCTGGCAGTGAAGCAGTACTGCTGTTTCTACGGTAGGCTCTGCTTTTACACCAAGGAAGCGGTCTTTCTGAGCTCCCTCTCAGTTACTACCTACTGGACAAAGAAAACTAGTTTGATGTAAAGCCTCACAAGGCTGAGCATTCTCATCTGGCTGCACTCAGAGCTGCAGGTTGCGGAACTTTTCCTCGATGAGGCAAGACTCTCTTCAATCATCTGTTATCACCCAAGCTTTAGATAAATTTTCTCCAGGGGACTCTCCTACTGGAGTCCTGCTGGGTCTGTTGTGGTTGGATAGTCTGCGTTCTGGGCTGTGTGCTATGCTGGAGTCAGTGAGTGCCTTCGGCTGGCACCGCTGCCAAAGAAAGTTGCCCCTGGCTGCTTAGAATATTCCGAGACCTGAACGGTCCCTCCCTGGTGCTGGCACGAGTTTTCGTGCAGCTGCTCAGCCGGAGGAGTTCAAGCCACCCTGTCATTCCTCCCCTTACCCAGTGCCTGGCATTACTAGTCAGTTTAGCTTACATCAGGGGATTAACTCCAGAACAACTAGGACATTTTTCAGTGACCAAAACTGAACTACATTCACACAGCAACATGCTGTAATTGAGCATTTTTACCCCTACAATTTCAAGTAAGGGTAAAGAACCTATGTTAAGGCAGTTGTCTGTTTCCAGTTGAGTCCTTTAGAATCTTAATATCGTATGAAATTTGTTATCACATAGACTTAAAAGTGTCCTGGAATTACATGGAAGCTAACGTGGAGAACTGGTGTCAGCCTGGGCAGTTTCTTCTATGTAGGTAACCACTACTTCAAAATATCTATTTTGTCCAGATAATTTCTCAAAACACTTGTACTTACGTGAACAAAAGTTGGCTTCCTAATCTGGGCTATTCTTAGTGTCAGCCTAAGGCTTGTTTAGACCTTTGTGCTTAAGGAAAAATAATGTGGCGAGGGCTCCCAAGAAAAGTTTGGAAAGAAGTTGGCGTAACTGCACGATTATAACAATGGACAAGTGATATATGGAATATAAGCCATTAAATAATAGAACAGGTTTTAAATTATGCAGTTTATACATGATTTGATTGTTATACTCTCTCTGAATGAGTCAGATGCTCTGAAAGCAAGAACTTCACGCTTCTCATCCAAAAACCAGAATTAAAGATTTCCACTGTGTATTTTTAGCGTCGACAACGAAACTTTCAGGTCCCTGGAATGAAGTAGAGCTTCGTTCGAGTAGCAGAGCTACTAACTTCCCTGTGGGAAAGGCGAGTCCTAATGTTGTCACCGGTCACCTCATCCACGTAGGAGAGTGTTTTGGATGTTTGCGTGACGGTACCCCAAAAATGCTCTTTGAAAAATAGTCTCTGCAGCAACGGGGCAGGTTCACGTGCTGCGTGTACGCGGCAAAAACTCGCCAGGTGGCAGGAACGGTCGCAGCTGCGTAAGGTGCTGCTGTGGAGGAAATAAACAAAAGGCTGCAGAAGCCCCGAAGCGAACATTTCTTTCCAGTTTTACTTCATCCCCTTTCAAGACTCACAGCAACCCATTTACACTTGCTGATCCGCGACACGAAGCCATACATCACCCAGTCGCGGGAAAAACCATCCGATTTTCTCCCCTGTTGCGTGAGCAGCGGGAGCCCACGCAAACAAGGACGGAACGTGCGTGGCAAAGCGCACCCGGGCGGCGGCCAGGCAGTAATGCCCCAGGTTAGCGGCGGCGGGGCCGGTGCCACCCGCGGGCAGCCTCCCCGGTGACACTGACACGGAGGGGGTCACACGGCGTGGGCT